ACATGGTTGTTTTTTTTTTTTACTTTACCCTAGACCTTAGATCAAACTTAAATTCATACCTAATCTACCCTCCCCATTTGGTAACAATTTTTTTTTGGTTATAAAACAAATACATTTTACTTTTTCACATATAAAGATTTGCTTTTGTCGCTTTAAAATTAATTGCCGGCAATTTTTCTAACTTAAAATTTTATTTAAAAAAAGTTGTTATTTTTTTTCTTTTATACTTACAGGACATTTTATTTATTTTTTTTTTTTTTGAACTTAAAAAAAATCATTCATGATTTTTAAGTGCCACTATTTTTTAGGGATTTTTTATATTTTTGCTTCATACCCATTATCTTAGTCATTTATTTTGCTGCTTATCATTCAAAACCAAACGTTGGCAATTGTTTGCTTTTTAGAAAAAAAAAAAATTCAGAAAAAAATAAAGCATCTTTATAATAATTTTTGTTGTTTGTTTTATATATTCTCACTCTATTTTTATGCTTTCTATTTCTATTTCTATTTCCTTTTTTATTTTTGTAAAAAAGGACATGTTATGGAAATTAATGAAATCTATATGTCATTGGTTGTATTTGTTTAATCTTTTAGAAGTCTGGCTCATAATATAAGGATAAATTAATCAATTAAATGATTTGATATTTAAATTTGTGACATAATTGATGGCAGGTTTTGATGGGATCATGTCTGATTAAGAGATGTTTCTGAAGTCTACCATTTATTTAAATTATAAAAGAAGAAAATTTATAATCTTGTTTACTAGCATATACTGGTCTTTTAAGGTCCCTATGGTTCAAAATATTTGATGCTATTTGTTGAAGCGGCAAATATTGGGTTGAGCAGCATTAATTTGTTGAAATTTTGTTACGCAAACTAATGAATCCTATTTAATCTTCTTGCATGACCTCTTTATGACGGAACTATTGCTCTATTTAGAAATCTGTATTGCTACATTTATAACTTCACAATTCCAAAGTTACTTTTGTTCTCAAGTCCCAAAGTTCAAAATACCAGTATGACCTTGATCTCTAAGATCTTCTTACTTCTTTGTGATCATATTTTTTTGATCGTGGTGATCAATAAAAAGAACATTTGTCCTAGTTCACTTCACTACTGTTTCAGATAACAACATTCGAAATACCAGCAAGTTAAATATCATTGATATCTGAGATCTCTTAACTTCTCAGTGATCATATTTTTTTGATCACCGTGATCAACGGAATGAACATTGATCCGAGATGCCTTTATATCTCGGAGTTTTCTTCTTTTCATCATATTTCGATTAGAACATTGCATTAATCAGATGCCTTTAATTCTCGGTGATCTTGTTTTCATTATCCCGAACTCTTTATGATAAAACTATTACTCTATTTAGAATTCTGTACATAGCGCTACATTTTTAACTTCACAATTCCAGAATGACTCCTGTTCTCAGGTATCAAAGTTCGAAAAACCAGTATGACCTTGAACTCTAAGATCTCCTTTCTTCTCCGTGATCACATTTTCATGATAATGGAGATCATAAATCCAAGATCCCTTTATTTCCAAATCACTGTTGTTTTAGATCCCATCATTCAAAATACTAACAAGTTTTCTGGATCATATTTTTACTTCTTAGTGGTCATATATTCTTGATCATCATGGTCATCAAAAAGGACATTATAGCGAGATCCCATTACTTATTAACACTTATATATTCAAGATAAATTATTGTGGAAATTATGTTTTCAGATTCAGAGTTGTATTCTTCTCAGTTTGGTTTCTCTTTACTTGATCGTATTTCGATTAGAAAATAGCATTGATCATATCCCTTTACTTCTCAGTGATCATGTGTTTTTAAGTTTATTTTTATTTTGGATATCTTTACTTTCAATGTCTTGAATTCTATGAATAGTAAGTGAACTTGATCTTTGATCTCTTTACTTTTTCAGTGATCATATTTTCATAATCATGCTAAAATCTTAAAGAAATCGTGTTTTTAGTTAATTTTGTTTTGTTGTCTTTATTTGAAGGAAAATTAGAATTAATCGGAGATCCTTTACTTCTTAGAGAGCATATGACCTGTAATATAAAGGAGTGACCATCAAAAGGACAACAAGAAAAAATCAATTTTGTTTTCTTTAGCGTCCTCAAACTTAGCGCGAAATTGATGTATATGATTTAACAGATCCTTTACAGAAATTATGCCAAAATGGCTTCCATTTTCCTCTGTAAGTTCTTTGAACTTTTGTAAACCGAATAAGGCGACTTGTGATTCCCCTTTTAGTCCATTCATAAAACTTATAATGGCTCTTTAAACTTTGCCATTATTAAGAATTTCTAGGAGCAGTTTGCCCTTTCCTACAATTAACCATTTCGATTATTATTATGTTTTTATTATTTTAATTTTATATTACTGCCATTTTTCTTTAATATGTGTATGTGTTGGCACGTTAGTATATGTGCGTATGTGTCGTGGTATTTGTAAATATTTTTCTATCATTAAAAATATTTTTTCTTTTGAACAACATCTTAATTACTCAAGATAAGCATGAAATAATGCCAAAGTCATGTAACCTTATCCATAATATACATTTGCTCTATCCCTAGAAACTAGATAGGAAGATGTAGGCGGATACAGTGAATAGTCTAAATAAAGGATTAAACAAATGTTAACGGACATATTTACTGGTAAAATGCGATAAAATAACGTTGTAACTGAAAACTAATTTCTGAAAAAGTTTAATGTTTTGATCTTTTATATAGTATTTCTAACAGAAATGTCCTTAATATCGTTCGTCCACTGTTTCTATAGTCATTAATATATGTGTATGTTTTTGACTTTATGACAATTAACTTGTAAAACAGTTTTTATTTTTAACTTTTTCTTACATTTCAGCGAATATATGAGTAGTATATTTATTTTAAGCTTCATAGACTTTATAACTCCTACCACCACCATCACCACCAGCAGCAGCAACAGCCAGGACATTGTTTAACTATACTCTCTTACATACACATGCCTTTGTGTCTTATTTTCTAAAGGATATTATAAATAATATTAAACTTTGTTGTTTTTTTTCTCTTTCTTTCTTTATTATTCATTCATATAATTATCACACATGTATGTAAAATATTTTCGTTTATAACTTTTTTTCTTGTTGTCTTTTGAATGCAAAAACAAAAAAAAATAGATGTGAGTAAGCAAATAATGCTCATATCAGAAAAATTTTTATGAAAGTAATTTTCAGTTTTCAGCTCAAGAAATTATATTCAGTATACATTTTTATTATTAACCATAAACAAGATTAGAAGAAAGGGTGGAGAGGAGAGTGAGATTAAATGGAGGATGTTATGATAGGGGTTAATACAGGGAAAGAAAACGATTGCGAAGAAGAACTAATTCCTTATTACTTTTACGAACATAGAATTCAGTTTCTTAGATAGTATTTTGATCGAAATAGTTCATGTGTGATCCCTTTACTTTTAAGTAAACATATTTTCATGATCAAGATGGAATTAATGTTCTCTGATTCAATATGACTTCATTTGATAGCAGTGATCATTATGAAATATATTTATAAATTCAGTATTTTTTTCTTTTCAATTTGGAATTTCTTAATTTGATCGAAAAGTGGCATTAATCTGAGATCTCTATACTTCTCAGTGATCATATTTTCTTAATCTCGATCAAGAGAAGAGCCTTGTCTATAGTCTGGAATATAGCCTTGTCTATAGTCTGTACTATAGCTTAGACTATAGTCTGGACTATAACCTTATCTATAGATCATATAGATCAGTGATCATTATGATATACAATTTTAGATTCAGTGTTTTCTTCTTTTCAATTTGGAATTTCTTCCTTTGATCGAAAAGTGGTATTAATCTGAGATCTCTATATTTCTTAGTGATCATATTTTCTTAATCTCGATCAAGAGAAGAGACTTGTCTATAGTCTGGAATATAGCCTTGTCTATAGTCTGTACTATAACCTTATCTATAGAGAAGAGCATTGATCCGTGATCTCTTTTACTTTTCGCTGATCCTATTTGTCATTTTATCGAAAATTGACTGTAGTTTCGTAGATAATAGTACGATTGCAGTGATCATATTTTCGTGATCGCTATGAAGGGAAATTATCTTTAGTTCTTAGTGATCATATTTCCATGATCATGATGAAATTATTCTTTCAGACTCATTTGATCTTGATACGTATGGAAGAAAACATTGATCTGATCATTTTCATTCACACAGTGTTGATGTGAAGATAACATATTTAGATTCCGGATTTGCTTCTTTTCGCTTTGGATTTTTTGGATGTCACTTAATTACAATGAAGAGGGAAGAGTATTTGATTTGAGATCACTTGATCACAATAATGAGAAGAGCATTGAATCGAAATCTCTGCTCTTTTTCTTCGGTTTTAGTTTTGTTAATATGATCGTACTTCCATTGTAAGAGAGAATTGATCAGTACCCTTTACTTCTTAGTGATCGTATTTGCATCATTATAATGAGGTTCTCATGATAATCATGTTTTCAGATAAATTTTCATTTTCATGATCTCAATGTACAAATTTCTTTTCAGTTTGAGTTTTCCTAATTTGATCGTACTTTGATTGTAAGAGAGCATTGATCAGTAATCATGTTTTCATTATCACAATAAAATTATCCTGAAAATCCTGAATACACGATCAGTGATCATATTTTTAGAATCAGTTCGGGTTCTTCAGTTGATTGAAAATAGAATTGAGTAGAGATCTCTTTACTTCTACTAACTCTACTTTTTCTCTCTGTGTATTTTTTTAAAACAAGCAGATTATTGTTCCTTATTTATCTTTTCTTAGTGCGTGTGTATTTTTTCTCTTTTTGTACAAAAATACATAAAAATTTCTTAAACTCTTTTATTTAATTTATAACTTTTTTTTGTTAAAACAAAAGGAAATGATTTGTTTATTTGTTAAATTTGGCCTAAGGTTATGTTAAACTTTATCTATTTTTCTTTTCTCTTACTTACAGACTCTAATACCCTACATACCCTTAAGTTTTGAAGTTGAACGTGTGCTGACATCCAATGAAGGTTCATTGATTGCCCTGGCAGGACCCCGGGGAGTATGTGTATTGGAATTGCCTAGACGCTGGGGTGCCAATGGCCAATTTATGGAGGGTAAAGCTAAAATTACTTGTCGGTAAGTTTGTTTTCTTTTCTAAATCAAATAGTCATTATTTTATACTTTAACTGTCATTATTCAGGCTTATTGTATTTTATTTTTCTATATTTAAATATAAATGTCCTTATAAAAATGATAAACTGCATAGAAAGCTAAGAAAGAGCGTCACATTTTTCTTCTACCATAACTAAATGCAGAAATTATAAACTTTTTTAAAAAGTCATTATTATAATTTTTTTTTAACTTTAAACTGTAGAAGAAAAAATTAAAAAAAATGAAACTTTGTTGATGGTAACAGGTTAAGTTAAATATGGGTAAATGCATTTATTTTATCTTACCTTCCTATGTCATACTTTTTCTTTCCAAGATTTGTTTTTCCTTTTTTTTCTTTCGTTTTTTGACTAACGAAAAGAAATCATGTTTAAAAATTTTGTGCTGTTGTTAGCACATCTGTTTTTTATTACTTTTAATTTGCCATTAATAAAGCATTTTGTTGAAGATGAAAAAAATATATGTATATAAATTTCTACGTCTACTTTAACAAACATTAGTCACCTTTATGGACTTTTATGGGTGGATGGCATCATGCTCATCCCCCTCCTTTATTGTGGCTTATATTATCTTGCAGTAATTATATTGAAATTAGTTGTAAATATTTTAAAATTTTAAGCAATTGGTTTTAGTTGGTCTATTGGAGGACAATGAATCAATTTTATTGACATTTTTATGGCAATTGCAGGGAAGTATTAAAAGCAAATGTTGCTAAAGAAAGTTTTTTCTAAACAATTTGTATTTTTTTTTTAATTGTAATGTTTAAGAAAAAAAGTTTTAAGTTGACATGATAAATTAAGATTTTACTGCTTTAGAATGGGCTAACAACTATTAAATTTATGACTCAGGTGCTGTTTTAGATGTTAATAAAATATTAGACGTTAACACAATTAGATTGAAGATATTTCTAAAGAGACTCCCAGAAAAGAATGTATATACATCAAATCCGAGGAAATACACCTAGGCCTTCAACGGGCCTGTTGTGCGCTCATTAACCAGTGCCTCAGATGGGAATCGAACCCACCATCTCTGGACTACCAGACTAGAATACTAACCACTATCCTACCGGAGGCCACCCCAGACAGCTAAGTTTAAAGTCTAGGCTATAGTCTGAACTAGTCTCTATTCTGGAATATTTCTAATATATAGACTGGTATATATTATGAACTATAGCCTGGTCGAAAGTGTAGCATTGTCTAGCAAGACTACAGTATGGACTATAGAAAAGGCTATAGTCTGGACTATAGACAAGGCTATAGTCTGGACTATAGACAAGGCTATAGTCTGGACTATAGACAAGGCTATAATATGGACTATAGACAAGACTATAGTCTAGACTATAGACAAGGCTATAGTCTGGACTATAGACAAGGTTATAGTCTGGACTATAGACAAGGCTATAGTCTGGACTATAGACAAAGCTAAAGTCTGAACTATAAACAAGGCTATGGCCTGGACTATAGACAAGGATATAGTCTGGACTATAGACAAGGCTATAGTCTGGACTATAGACAAGGCTATAGTCTGGACTATAGACAAGGCTATAGTCTGGACTATAGACAAGGATATAGTCTGAACTATAACAAGGCTATAGTCTGGACTATAGACAAGGCTAAATAAAGTCTGAACTATAACAAGGCTATAGTCTGAACTATAGACAAGGCTATAGATAAAGCTATAGTCTGGACTATAGACAAGGCTATAGTTTGGGCTATAGATAAGGCTATAGTCTGGGCTATAGACAAGGCAATAGTCTGGACTATAGACAAGGCTATAGTCTGGACTATAGACAAGGCTATAGTCTGGACTATAGACAAGGCTATAGTCTGGACTATAGACAAGGCTATAGTCTGGACTATAGACAAGGCTATAGTCTGGACTATAGACAAGGCTATAGTCTGGACTATAGACAAGGCTATAGATAAGGCTATAGTCTGGACTATAGACAAGGCTATAGATAAAGCTATAGTCTGGACTATAGACAAGGCTATAGTTTGGGCTATAGATAAGGCTATAGACAAGGCAATAGTCTGGACTATAGACAAGGCTATAGTCTGGACTATAGACAAGGCTATAGTCTGGACTATAGACAAGGCTATAATCTGGACTATAGACAAGGCTATAGTCTGGACTATAGACAAGGCTATAGTCTGGACTATAGACAAGGCTATAGTCTGGACTATTGACAAGGCTATAGTCTGGACTATAGACAAGGCTGTAGTCTGGACTATAGTCAAGGCTATAGTCTGGACTATAGACACGACTATAGCCTGGACAATAGACACTACTAAAATATGGACAACAGAACAGACTATTGTTTGGAAAATAGACAAGACTATAGTCTAGACTGCAGGCAAGACTGTAGTCTGGACTATAGCCTAGTTTTTAATCTGGACTATGGCCTAGTATGGACTATAACTTAATCTATAGTCTGGACTATAGCTTAGTTTATAGTCTGGACTATAGCTTAGTTTATAGTCTGGACTATAGGCTAGTCTTTAGTGTGGACTATAGCCTAGTCTTTAATCTGGACTATAACTTAATCTATAGTCTGGACTATAGCTTAGTCTATAGTCTGGACTAAAGCTTAGTCTATAGTCTGGACTATAGCTTAGTCTATAGTCTGGACTATAGCTTAGTCTATAGTCTGGACTATAGCTTAGTCTATAGTCAGGACTATAGCATAGTTTATAGTCAGGACTATAGCCTAGTCTTTAGTGTGGACTATAGCCTAGTCTTTAATCTGGACTATAGCCTAGTCTGGACTATAACATAATCTATAGTGTGGACTATAGCTTAGTCTATAGTCTGGACTATACTTAATTTGTAGTCTGGACTATAGCTTAGTTTATAGTCTGGACTAAAGCTGAGTTTGTAGTCTGGGCCATAGAGTAATCGTTTGCCTTGACTGTAGTGCAGTCTATAGTCTGTGGATCAGTTCACAATCTGGTCTAAGTCCTAGCTCTTTCTCTGGTCATTAGCATTATAACTTAACATTTAATACTAAAAATTTCTTTAAATGTTTACTACTCGTTGTTCTGCTCTATTATTTAAAACTCGTAAAGACTTTGATTTCTTTTAGTTAATAAATTCTTAAGCAGCTCCTCCTCCCTCTAAACACCCTCTCACTAATACAGCAAATGCACTGATGACAGTAACGGACATCCTTTTAAAACAGTGCAAAAAATTTCGCGCAATATTTGATTCCTTTTAAAATGGAAAATTATTGCATGAAGGCTATAAAGCCTCCCGTCTTACTCGCACAAAACATTTGCAATTTACCAAACCATAGACAATCCATTTGTTAAGACTACAAATACTTGTCGTCGTTTGACTACAGAAGTCTATTCAGAGAAAACTTTTCAAGTACTTTGAAAAATGTTAGCAAAAAAGAAAAAATTTCAACTCTTTATTATTGCTGCTATTGAGGAACAACAATTGCATTATAGCTAGTTGGTGTATACATTTGTTGTAGATTCCCCAAAAGAAATGCTGATGATGTTAATAATGATGTTGCTAATGCTGCATAATCATACACAAACTAAAAACACATAAAATTTCGATTGCTCAGTTTGAATTTGTGTCTTCGTTTTTGGTATTTTTCTTTTTTTTAACGGAAGATGTTGGCTTATTTAGTGTTGTAAGCCGTGAGGGAAAGGGGTTTGCAAAGTTCCATCAAGGATGTAAATTTTTGTTAAATTACAATAGAAATTACCACTTTTTTCCCCCTTTCCCTAACCGTTTAAAACCTCTTTTCAAATACGCGCTTATTTTAATAATTTTTATTATTATAGTAGAGGTAGTAGAAAATTTGCAGAAATTTTTGTTTAACAAATTCTTAATAATGAAATACATTAAAATTACACGCCAGAATGGCTTAGAAATAGTCTCAACTTTGTTTACCTCCCTGCTAGTGGAGAAGTGATTGAGGGACCAGGGGATTTTTTTAACACAAAATTTATAAATAAAATTTTTGCAAAAGGAAACCAAAGTTTCGTTTTTTTCTATTTTGTATTTCGAAAAACTTTTCAAAAATATACAATAAAATATGAAAACAACGTGCAAAACAGAAATGTTTTCAAGCCTTTTTTTCCATGATATTTTTTTATAAACTCTTAACAACCCACCACGTTGTTGTCTTGTGTTCGAAAAGAAAAAAGTTTATGATTTTTAACATTTTATGGCATTTTAGAGTTTTTCGATTTGCATAGCATAACAATTAATGTTAAAACCTTTAAGTTCTTTATGTAACAAATTTTACCAAAAAAATGGCAAAAAGTAAAAACTCAAGTGTTAAAAGTTTAACAGGCCTTTATATCAAGTTCTGTTTTTTTTTTTGGTATTCAAATAGTGACTTTGTCGTCTGTCTGCTTAACTGTTTCTTCTATAACCTGCCAAGTGTAAGTAACTGTTACAGTTTTTCCTTTTTACTTTAAGTGTTATTTAATTATATGCCACCAACGTAATACGTTTTTTTTTTCTTTTCAAGAAAATATTAATAAAATGTTGTCATTTTACCACCTTTAGGCCTCATTAATTTTTGTTGAAAATCATCACGCGAAAATTTGTTGATTTAGGTTGATTTTCTTTATAAAATTATGATAATTTCAAGTAAACAACCAAAGTCTCAAAGACTTGGTTTATCACGAATTTATCAGTTATATTTGTGTTTGCAACACTCACTCACCCTTTACAAAAGTATCCTTTTTGTATGGAGTGTGTGTGCTTGTTGGGGGGGAAAGGGAAGTAAAGTTATTATCCACAAATATTATTGAGCTTAGGAAAGTGGAAAAAACCAAACTTTCATTAAAAGGATTAAAAAATAAGAAGTATGTAAATGATTTTGAGAAAGTTAAATTGACAAGAGGTTGCTGGAACAGGGAAGGGGTGAGGCTAACCAAAATATGAAAAGGCAATAGTTCAGACTATCGACTAATCCAGACTATAGATTACCTTTTATCCAAATT